TTCTTTTCAGCCCTCCACAGACTCAGCGGTGACTTATCTTTTTTTTTTTGTTGCACAAATGTGAACACTCCAAGAGAACTCGGACCCCTCTGAAGCGAACTGTACTCAGGATACCTCAGGAGGTAGTCTAAAGGTGTTTTCACACTTGGTCCTTTTGAGCCCTCTAAGCGGACTCAGAGCGGTGACTCAGCATTATTTGCGCAAATGTGAAGAGAACCCAGAACCCCCTGCAGCGAACTGAACAGGTGGTCCGAGTTCGGTTCACTTCAAGTCTGCGGTGCGGTTCACTTAACCTGTGCCTTGTGAACACAAAGGGCTCTGGGTCCGCTTTGCCTTTTTCTAAAGTATTGTAGCCCTCCAGGCTTGCCATAGACAGATCACGAACTATTTCAGTGGGACGCATAATAAACACAAGTTTGGCTCACTTCAAGTTTGCAGTCAGTTCACTCAACCTGTGCACTCCAGGTTCACTTTGCTCTTTGCCATTGTATTCAGCCCTCTAGATCACATGCTGTTGCACTGGGACGCTTGAAAAAACAGACAAAACCACATCTGCTTATAACACTTGCAAGGAAGCAGCACGAGGAGTAGTTTGGTCCACGGAGGATTCTGCACGTCTCCAGATGTGTAACGTAGAATACATCAAACAGCAACAGTCTACAGCACAGAAATGCTAAGGGTTTCCTCCAATTTTAAGCTCATCTGAAAGTGAGGGGTTTCATAACCCTGTTGCAATGCCTCATCAAAGTTAAAAAAAAAAAAAAAAAAAAAAAAACCTTTGTCTTATATAATAAATATAGTGTCATTTAGTGTTATATATAGTGTCATATAGTGTTATATAATAAATATAGGCCCGATCAGAGCTGAAGTTTACCAGAAAGAGAACTGAGTCCTCTTTCAAATGAACTGACAAGGTGAACACAAAAAGTCCCTTTTCTGTTGGTCCACTTTTTGGTGCGCTTTAAGAGGACTGAGTTTGGTTTGTTTAAAAAGGACTGTGAAAACACCCTTAGTTCACTTCTCTGTCGGACAGGCTGCCTGTGTGGGAAGTACTGAACATATAACTGGATAAATGAGACTTGGATCCTATTGCACAAGTTGTGTGAAAGTTTGTAAACAGATGTTCTGATATAGTTTTTCTGCTGTTTAACGTGCACCCCTATGGCTTCAATTCATCAAGAATTTTCTCAGTTTATGGATTCTTCATTCTTCAATAAGGCATGTGAGAAAAGCAAAGTTTTCTTCCCCAATTTAAAGTGAAAATGGGTGAGGAACTGGTATAAAAAAAGGGTCAATTGGGTCCTTTAAAGTAGTAATAATACCTTTACAGCCTTCTTAAAAGGTTTGTACTTCTGAGTATCCCGGATTTTCTTTTTTGGATGATCCAAGAGTAAAATCTGAAATGAAAGTTTAGGAATAGTTTTTGAGTGTTTACATTTACTTTAAAAATCATTTTATGTCCCTCTCAGATATCACATCCAGGCTACCTTTAGGTCGTTGTGTATGGCATGTCCAACCACTATTCTGCCTTGCAGGATGGCAGCAACCTCCCTCTGCACAGTCCGTAAATCCTCTCCTGCAGTGACACAAACACAGATGATAATCGTGGTGTAACAGTACATTCCAAAATTTCAAAGCTACTAATTATAACGTGTCAGTTTCTCATTCAGTTGTTTGTTGCTCATTACAACCACTTTCACAACTCACCATCTCTGATGTCCTGTGGTCGGATGCCACTGACAGCTGTCCTGTAGTCTGTCACCTTCTCTGTGGGTTTCACATACTTGTCATAGATGCATTTCCCAAACTGATTCACGAGGGAAACGCGAGCCAAGATGCTGTCCTCTCCGTCAGGGCCAACTCCCACCATCTCGCAATCAATGGCCACGGCTCTGGTGAGGCTGACGGTTGGTGAATAGGAAACAAGATAAGAGAGGACAGTCCTCACTACTACTTTAACCTGCCTGAGGAAGATCTGTCATCTCTGTTTTGGCATTTCACTGATAATGAGAATAAATTTATGGGTCTAGTATGTGTACGTTATATTCTGTATATATGTATGTGTGCATGTCGTTAAAAAAATAAAACATTTTCTAAGCTGACTCTTTTATCTCAGATGTAAATAAAAACCATCACTTGAAAACATCTCCATGACAACATTTTAAAAATAGTCTCTGCTGTCAAATGCAAAAGTTTATGTCACAGCAGGGTGATTTACATGCTGTGAGAAAATAAATAGAAGCTGTGGAAGTCAGAGAAAACACATTCAACTATCTAAACTGGTATGACATCCCGGGGAAAATAGCTGGCAGTAATCTTATGATATAGGATGACATTTGAAGAAATATGCTCATTCTTAAGATTCATGAATTACAGAGAAGGTTAATGCCAATCTCATGTCTGTCCATTAAAGGGACAGTTCAGATTTTTGGAAGAGGGGTTGTATTAGCTACTAATCCAAGTCAGTGTATTACATGCAGTAGATGGCGGTTGGCACATCCCAGTTTGGAAAACCTGGCAGGAGTACTGCCACGGAATATAAGCAACGTACTGCTGTAAATCAGGGCAGCAAAACGTATTTTCGCCACCTATAAAAAATGTAATATCAGTTAGAGTGTACGCTATATATAGACGGTCCTTTCTGACGGGGAAGTGAAGCCATAAAATCCATCTAAGCTCTCTTCAAAGCCACCAGACTTCTTTGACAAAAACAGTAATTTTACATTGCACAACATGGGAGTTACAAGTCTAACACTGCCTTGATTGGCTAGTTTGTGTGTCATCGTGTGACTTTGGTGTTTTATTTGGATGAGTTTGGATTCTTTAAAGCTACACAATATCACAACCAAGCTAACAGATCGAGACGGTGGTAGATCAGCAGCTCCCATGTTCAGTGAGGTAAAATTACATATTTTGTCAAAGGAGTCTGGTGGCTTTGAAGAGGGGATAGAGAACACCTCATTTCCCTGTTTGAAAGCATGTCATATCAGTGGCAGTACTCCTGAGACCTGCCTGCGCCTCCAAACTGGGGACATGCTGACCGCCATCTACTGTAGTTGGTACACTGACTATGGATAAGTACCTCACACAACCCCACTTCAAAAAATCTGAACTATCCCTTTTAAATGAGGCTACAGACAGCAGGCGGTTTAGAGGGGGAGACAACTAACCCTCCTGTGTCCAAAGGCAATGACTTCCTGGAGCCTTGTTTTTGCTGTGAGGTTGCTAGACAACCAGCGGAGACTCCAGGAAGTCACTTATTAGTGAGCTATAGAGCCAGACTAGCTGTTGTACCATTTCCAGTCTTTAAACTCACCTTGTTTTTGCCGTATAGATATGCGAGTGGCATCAATCTTTTCAATGTCTCATGGTAAGGCCGCAAATAATCAAATATCGCAAAAAGTCAAACTATTCTTCTAAATATGCACTTGATTGGTGCCGAAGATGCATGTAAACCGTATGAGATTTTTCTGTTAATGACTTAATTGTCAATATTCTAACCAGTATGACATGAAGTCTTCTCTGGCACATCTACAGGGCTACAAAATGGCGCTGACTTTGTCATCACTCACCCCTCAAAGGCTTTCTCCTTGACGAGGGAGCTCTCTGTGTCATTGTTCTTCTTAATGCCCTGCTTCTTCCTCATGATCTCTGCTGCCTCTGCTCCCACGGTTGCCTCGATGTCGTCTGGGTCTACGTCATCAAACCAAAGGTCCTCTCTGCAGTGGCACAAGACAGGTTGAAGTTAGCATCCACAATGCCTCGAATATTACTCGAATATTAGCAGACATTAGTGCTGCATACTTACTCTGTAGGCTTCGTCTCTTCAACCACAGGCTTCTTTTTCTTAGCCGCTTGCTCGCTGTTTGACTTTCCGCTGTCCTTTTTCCTTTTCAGAGCAGCAGACTGTTTTGCGTCTGAGACAGATGGACCCTTTGAGTCCACCTGAGAGTCCTTGGGGACAGCACTGGTAGGAAATGTTTTGTGCTTCACTTTTTTCCCTGTGTCTTCCGCTTTATTCTTGGAAATATTTTTTTTAGCCTCCTTTTTCTGCAGAGCACCATTCTGAGGTTTTGGTGTCATGGGCTGCTTCTTCTCCGGCTGACTGGCCTTTAGCATCTGTGGAAAGTTCAGCAAAGTTGTGACCAATCTACATGAGAGTGACGTCACTGAATGTGGTAAATAAAACACATATAATATGTAAACAAGCTAAAATAAAGCATGACAAACCTCTTGTAATGCCTTCCAGTTGGCAGAGAACTGTTGGACGTCTTTTGGAGGTGCTGCTGGCTGAGCTTTAGGTTTTTCTTGTTTCTTCGGTGGAGGCTTTAACTTTTCATACTTCATTTTCAGCCACTGTTTCCTTTTCTTTTTCCTTTCCGCTTTGTTCTTTTTCTCTGCAGATGTGGGTCCTTGTGTTTTAGCATAAGTGTCTTTTTTCTTTGCATTAACTGTTGACATTTTTGCCCCTTTCAGTTAGCTATGTCGTATTTTATTTGGTTATAGTACGTAAAGCCTGTTAGCCGTCCTCAGCCACGCTGGACCGTCAGAGCTCCGTCACTTGGTTACCAGGTAACCTTTAAAAAGTAACGGTCGACACAGTGTCACCAACAAGTGTTTCCCGGTAGTAAGTTTACCGTGTTGCCGCACCGGCGCAAACAAATTGCTCGATAATTTTCCGAAATTGCTGGAAGAAATGCACAGTAACAAACTCCAGGTGCTGTAAAGCCATGCTGATATGTATATTTCCGAAGTGTGCAGTAGCCAAATGCGTCCGGTGAAACATGAATTCGAACACACGCGTGTCTACTTACTTACTAACTAAGCTAACCAACTCGACAACTTCAGCGCAGTTTTTCAGCTAATATTCACTCAAATTTTTATAACATATGGATACGTCAAAAAAGTATGTTTTTAGTTTATTTTTTTATTTTATTTTAAAGGCGGAGACTCGTTTTGTGACAAACGTTTCACATCGGACCAAATGTAATGTGGGACAAGATGCAGGCATAGTAGTTGATCGACGATGCTTGACGGATTCAGGAAAAAGATTTTTCTAAGTGTTTGGTAGAAATTTAGAAATTTAACTTATTATATGTTCACGTTTTGGATAAGTACGTAGCGACTCACACATCGAGGACATCTTGGTAAATATTAAGGTAAGTTTACGTGCGTAACAGGAGGATATCCGGTAGCGTTTTTAAAGGCATAACGTTAAATCAGTTTTCAGTCAGCTTGCAGTAGTTTACGTTGAATTAACCATAAATATACATGTTTGTTGGCTGTAACTGGAGCTAATTTGGGTCTGACGTGTTATGTGTCCTTTATATTGTGACACTTTGTCGTTTAATTGTGGTTTCAGATCATGGTGGTGAACAGTCCCTCTCCTCTACCTGAGAGAGCCATCTATGGGTTTGTCCTTTTCCTTGGCTCACAGTTTGGTTTCTGTAAGTCACATTTTGTTGTTTCACTTTGAAAAAAAAAAGTTTAACATGTCTAATTAATACGGATGATCTAGTAGAGACACAAAGTGAATTGATTGAATGGCATGTTCATATATGTACACAGCTCTGACATTATTCCCGAGGGTTGAACAAGTTATAATAAGATCTGACTTTTTATACTAAAGTGTGACTATCTAAAAAATGTGTTGCCATTGTTGCATCTAAATGAAATGTTTTTACTTTCTGCAGGATTCTTTTACCTGTAGTGAATTCAGAAACAGCTGCAAAACTTTACTACTTTTTCTATACTATATTTCTGTGATCTGCTGTGGATACAGGCCATCTTTCATTTTTAAAAACACATTGTATTTCACCACTCTTGAGAATTTGGACAAATCATGTCCTACTATTAAAAAAAAATCCTTTAAACTATCACTTATCAACACACTATGAAACATCTATGAAATAAATCTGATTTTTAAAATATTTATATGAATATAACTTCTAAACTTGCCTTGTGTCAGAAAACACCTTTGTCCTAGACAAGAATTCACAGCTTCATTTTTTTTAAAGGGGAAAAAAACTAACAGTACAAACTAATAACATCAGTGACAAAATGTAGTGCTATGATTATCTTTGTCTAAAAATATATTTTTTGTGAAAATGTTGCCCTTTTAAGATTTGTCCCAGGTTTTTTTTTCAACTCCTCAGATCTCGACGAAAATATAATTTAGTTGGGCATAAAAGGGGTTAGCTACATCCTAAGGACTGCTGTCTCAGTTCCTGGTTTCCAAAAAGGTGGGAATGCTGCTCAAGTACCTGTAAGCTTTCTATTTATGATAAATTTGTTAAAAATTTTGCTATCAGGTGTGTCAAAACTATAACCTGGCAACATCATAGCCCTTCTAAATCAAAACTAAAAAATATTTGTGTTTTAAAAATGTGTATTTTGATTAGCATTAAGAGAACTCTTTGAAAAATAAAATGGCTACTCCCTACGACTGTGATATTAATAAGTGGATAACTTTTTGCCAACTCAGTGAGATGTCAACTCCATCAGATCTGACCTCTGACATCCATGATGTTTGCTATTTGCTATAAGAAAAAATTCAATCACTTGGAGGCTAGCCCAGTACAAGGTTTAATAGTCCAGACTTTGATCCTCTAAAATATGTTTTCCCAGCCTATTTGAAGAGTAAAAAAACAACCCAGAAAAGTAATGTTTATCCCAGTTCAGATATTTATTTAATTTTTTTGAAGAAGAAAAACATTTGTATTTTTCTGAGTGTTGTACATTGTAGCATAAAACACTTTTATTATATTTCTAAAACTGTATATACTAGTTTTGTACACTGTAATGCAGCATGATGCACATCTTACACATTTTACATACTGAGCATATTATACATATTTTATATTTTTTAAAGATTTTACATACTAGTGTGAAACACTGGAGCATAATGCACATATTTTTATTGATATATACTTATTCCCCAATATTATACCATGTAAATAGCTATCCAAACAAAAACACCTGGTCAACCGTGTCTGTAATATGACAACTTTCCTTTCTTCTCTCCACAGTTCTGTATTGCCTGTGGGCATTTACACCAGAAGAGTGGCTTCATTCAATAGGGCTCACCTACTGGCCTCAAAAGTAAGTCAAGAATTATGATCAGATCGTAGTTATCCAATAACAAGTCCCCTCCCTTGACTGACAAATGAAACAGTGTGCCTCAGGAAATACACGTACCACACGATGAGTTTTATGATCTGTTAACTCAAACATTTCATCTTGTGTAGATACTGGGCCCTTGCCGCACCTATCTATCTGCTGGTTGCACTGGTGATCTGTTTTGTGTTGCTGTTCGGAGTGAACATGAACAACACGGCTCCACTTGACTCCGTGGACAACATCACAGGTGAGGATGTTGCTATATGCTAACTGTGAGCTACATGTTAGGGGGCAATGCACCTGCGACACTCAAATGTTAAGATGATACTCTAAAAGTTCCTTCCTCATCCTAAAGCCCTTTAATGTCTCCTTCCTGTTACTAGATGTGTACGCTCAAGGCCAGAGGACAACAGACTGCCGCAAGGGGGGAATACCCAGACTGAAAGATGTCTCCATCAGCGATGTCAACAAAATGTTCTATTTGTCGCGCAAGCAATAACAAACTGATTCCAGCCGGAGGCAGAGTAGAAATGAGGCTGCCGGGGATTTATTATTGTGTCACTGTTTACCCTTTGTTTGTAATAGAAGGACTCTGCTGTATTTATTTATTTATTTATCCAGGAACAAAGGGGAAGATGTACAGAAAGAACTGTTAATGGATCTATGTTGGACAAAATGATGTGCTGTGTGTTTGTTAGGCTGAATGTGATGTAACACAGTGTCATCAGAGCAACACTGGATAGAAAAAGGTAGCACATGACTACATTTAATAAATGTCATACTTTTATTACATATTTTTGTGCAATAGTACACTTTTGATAACATCATAATCATATGAAATAAGATGGATACTTTCAGGCAGCGCATTAAAATCACTTTCAGCAGCATATATAATTAAATACACTATAAATAAGTAAGCAATGTATCTTACATACATGAAGATCCTGTTCCCATTTTTAATTCAAGGGGAACATTTTAACCTCAGTGTCCACTGCTAGAAACTTAGGAGTCGAGTTGCATCAAATCACAGGTGCTGGTGCAGTTTGGTGCCCGACCGAAATGTCCTAGATGAGATTTCATTATACAATGCATCCATCTGATTGGTCAAAGCATGACTAGATTTGCAACACAGATCTACAATCCAGGGCCCAAGTATAGAGGTGAATTCATTTTATTTTTTATTGTAGTGTACTATATGTTTCACTTTTAGTCTTATAGAGATGCTCTGAATGTTTAAACAGATAAGCATGTGTTCTCTCTACAGCTCAGGGTTCCCTCTGGTGATGATGTGAAGAATATCATCTCATGTTAGAGAGAGGGGAAAAATGCAGTCTGTGGGACTTTGCCAGGGGTTCTGTGAAAAGTTTTCAGTTTTATCAAATTATCATGATATAAAAAATATTTTTCATTTATTTACAAAAGGCTTCCCAGTTCACTGACTCATATTTAATGCCTTTAATCAAATAGCTCACGGATTATATTCTAATCTAAAGAATCCACAACTGTTCTCTTGTTTTTCAACATAACTGAGATAGAAGTGTAAAAAAGAAGAAGTCGGCTACATCAAATTATTAAGACATACAGTATCTCACATAAGTGAGTACACCCCTCCCATTTCTGCAAATATTTCATTATATCTTTTCATGGGACAACACAATAGAAATGACACTTTGATATAACTTAAAGTAGTCAGTGTGCAGCTTGTATTAGTAGTATAGATTTACCTTCCTCTGAAAATTACTCAAAACACAGCCATCAACATCTAAACAGCTGGCAACATAAGTGAGTACACCCCACAGTGAACATGTCCAAATTGTGCCTAAAGTGTCAATATTGTGTGTGCCAACCATTATTATCTAGCACTGCCTTAACCCTTTTGGGCATGGACTTCACCAGAGCTCACAGGCTGCTTCAGGAATCCTCTCCCACTCCTCCATGATGACATCATGGAGCAGATGGATGTGAAGACACCTTGTGCTCCTCCACCTTCAGCTTGAGGATGCCCTACAGGTGCACAGGTGAGTTTAGGGCTGGATACATACTTGGCCAGTCCATCACCTTCAGCTTCCTCGGCATGGCAGTTGTCATCTTCTAGGTGTGTTTTGGGTCGTTATCATGTTGGAAAACTGCATTGCGGCTCAGTTTCCGAAGAGGGGCGATCATGCTCTGCTTGGAATTCATGTTTCCCTAAATGAACCGAGCTTCCCGGGGCCGGCAGCACTCATGCAGCCCCAAACCATGATGCTGCCACCACTATACTTGACTGTAGGCAAGGGACAGTTGTCTTGGTGCTCTGTCAGCATGTGTGGCACCTTGGTGAAGAACACCAAGACAACTGTCTCTTGCCTACAGTCACAACTCATGTGTTTTACGATTGGAACAAGGGAAGTTTAAAAACTGTTGGACATCTTGGACTACATACGTATCCTCAACTACATCTGACTTCAACTGGACATGATCAATGGAATTAACACATTTGTCTAGCAGCAGGGGGCGCTTCTGGTTTACTAGATTACGTATCAAGGTACAAAAATTAATTGATTCAATAAGTGTTACTTATTATTATTGCTTTGTTTTATCTTTAACTATTTACCTATTCTTTTATTTTTATAAAGGGGATTTTTTTTATTTATTTCAATTATTTAATTTGTGTATTTCCTCCTGCCAAGACTTTTTTTTCCCAAAAACTTTTGTCATGGGTTGAAATATGTGTCATACCACTAGGACTGTCTTTGAAGGCAGTTATAGTTATATAACAAACTGTTTATCTGTATTTGAATATTTTGTTACATTACCTTCAAAAAAAAAGGGGGAAAAACAGAACACTTTGTAACTACAATGTGATGTAAGAATTGTGCTCCAATTTTGTTATAAATAAAAATTTAAATAAACATATTTATTTGAGGTACTTTAACTGTACTTGAGTATTTTAATAACATGCAACTTTCTGCTTTTACTTCACCACAGTTCAGAGGAAAATATTGAACATATTACTCCACTATAATTATTTGATAACTTTAGTTACAAATTCAGATTTTTTTGCACACAAATCATATGAAAATATACAGGTGCAGCTGAGTCATTTAGTCGATTGATAAGAAAATTTATTGCCAACTATTTTGATAATTGTTTAAGTCTTGGTTCCAGCTTCTAAAATATGAGAACGCTCTGCTTTTACTTTTAATTATTTATTTATTTGTGTATTTTTGGTTTTATGGAATTTTTCTGCAACAGTACTTTTATTTGCACAACTTAAATACATGTTCCTGATTATACTTACATACTTTTAACTAAGTATCACTTTAAATGCAGGACTTTTACTGGAAAGAAATTATTCTTAAAGTGTGTAATTAGTCGTTTGGTTTAAGTAAAGGACCTGAATACTTCCTCCATCACTGCAGAAATTATTTTATTACTTGATTTTCTCTATTTTGTTATTTATTATAACGCAGATGCACTCCTGTCCACTGGGGGCGACAGAGAGCAGCGTTGCGGACCTCCTGAGCATTACAGAAGAAGACAGTGCTTTCATGATACTTGCTAGTGTTTATCATTTCCCATTCATTCAATAATCTCTGCTGGACTTGTATTTAAACATATTGCAGTAGTTCCGATAAATAAATGGCCTTCGCTCTTCCAGTGTGGCTCGCGGTGCAAGAGGAGCTCCTCGCCGGAGATGGCGAAGCGGACAATGCGACTCCGACCTGTTTCGACGACTTCGACGATGAAGCTTTGTTCCAGATGTTCCACCTCACCAGACCCTGCATCGCCTTCATCACAGACACTATCCGCGTGCGCATGAAGAGCACATCTGTGAAGAAACCCACGCTGCCCGTGGAGGCGTCGGTCAGCTCTCTGGTCATGGTGGCACTCAACTATTACGCACAGGGCGTTTCCCACGCTGACATCTCGCAGAGAGTCTCCCGAAACCAGACGGACTGCTTCGCGATCATCTCCACAGTGTCCGGGGTCATCGCGGGCATGGCCGATGCCTTCATCTCGTTTCCGCAGATCCGTGAAGCCAGAGCCAATGTCGCATTCAAGATTGAGAAGCTGTGCGGGATCCCAAACGTGCTGGGGGTTGTGGCTCCAGCTCACTTCAAGATCAGAGCGTCCCCCTACGAGAAGGAGACGTTCAGGTCCTTTGTCAACACCTTGGGGTACACCTCGGTGGTGAGCCAGATCATATGTGACTCTGATGGCAACATACTGAGTGTGGAGAAGTGTTGCGCGGGCAGCACGTTTGAGCAGGAGATGTGGGAGACGTCGTTTAAAGGAAGGGAAATGGAGGAGGACCTGCACGGAGCAAACTGGATTATTGGTAAGATGAACAACTAATTAAGAATGGTGACCTCCCTGTTGGATGTCATACATCAAAGGGATGCTTCACCCACTAAATGACCATCTTTAAATCAATCAGTCATGCTGTTAGACCTTAAATTCATGAGGAAAAGTTGTTTTCTCTCTTATGCCTCCATGGGAAACAGTGAACACATTGATTGGGGGTCACCTCAATTTATAAACTCACATCTCATGCAGTAAAATCCTAGTTTAATTAATCCAGTCATGTGCTAGTACTCCCAGACATATATGCATTTTATCTAGGGACTGTTCTTTATTTATCAGACGATGGGGTGGCTGGTGTGGGCCTTTTGTTTTTTGTTATGCACCATTATGTTTTTGAAATCTTGACCCTCCCTGAAGGTACACATATTCTCCTTGAGCCTCCCTGAGTGACTGCAGGAAAATGCATGACGCCTCCCCACCAATTTGTTATATATAAATATTTACACCCAATGTTGGAGCCAATGCAATAAGCAAACATCACAGAGGGAGTGTGAGTTATCACCACAACAAACACCTAATTTCTGAAGCAAAATGCAAATCGCATCATCAAACAAGCTTTGCGCACACTTCAGAGGAATACAGGTGCGTGACAGCCACCTGTCCTGGTCCATTTATCAACTTTCAACCACTTATCTGGAGCCAGGTTGCAGGGGCAGCAGGCTGAGCAAACCACTCTAGAAATCCCTCTCCCCAGCAACGCTTTCCAGCTCCTCCTGAGGACCCCAAGGTGTTCCCAGGCCAGATGAGATATGTAATCCCTCCAGCATGTTCCGGGTCTGCCCCAGGGTCTCCCACCAGTTGGATGGGCCCAGAACGACTCTAGGGAGGCGCCCAGGAGGCATCCTGATCAGATGCCCGAACCACCTCAACTGACCCCTTTCGACGCGCAGGAGCAGCGGCTCTACTCCGAGCTCCCTCCGGATGTCCAAGCACCTTACCCTTTCTCTAAGGCCAGTCCAGACACCCCACGGACGAGACACATTTCAGCCACTTCTATCTGTGATCTCATTCTTTCGGTCACTACCCAGAGCTCATGACCATAGGTGAAGGTTGGGACGTAGATGGACGAGTAAATGGAAAGCTTTGCTCTCTGGTCCTACCACATAAAATCCACAAAAAATAAATAAGCCCATGCATCACACAACTGCACAGTTGAACACAAAATACAACCATTTAAAGTTGTATGCCCCTCCTCAGTCCAAATAAAACACAAGTCCCTCCCCAATGCTTTAAAAATTATTTGACATGCCTCCCGCTTTGCAGCCGCCCCATTTCTAATTAAGAACAGTACCCTAAAAAAACGTAGCTTAGTAAGAGTCTGGATTTGAAGAGCATACGATAAATCTCACCTAAGGCTTTAGCTGAAATGCATGTGTTTGAGAAGTGCTGAGCAGATGTATGGATAACTCAGACCTGGATTATACTCCATAAATTGAGTGAGAGCTTGTAAGTGGATGTTTTGATATAGTTTTGCTGTTGTTTAAGGTGGCCCCCAATCAATCAGTGTAGTAGTCACCATTTTCCGTGGAGGCATGCAAGAAAAACAAAGGTTTTGTCACAATTTCCACTTAACACGGCATGACTTGACTAACAAATGGTAAGTTTTGTGGGTGAAGTGTTCCTTTAAATCGTATTTTGCACCCCCACGCAAACATAATTCACTGTATTGCCTCCTTATCAATAAACACTTTGGAAAAATCAGTTACGCATTAAAGACACTGCTAATCTGCTTTTTATCTTGTGACGTTATGCCACCCACAACAACAGTGTATATGTTTAAAAGAACAATAGGTAATTTTCTCTCTTAAAAAAAGGCAAAACTCAAGGTCCACCTTTTATCTTACTCCTGAGCTTTCGACTGTATGTCATAGTCTTCCTCAGCAGACTGAATTTGCAGAGGAAGACCATGAAAGCCAGCTAAGTTAAAATAGCTATTTGTGAAATGACAGGAATTCATATTTGAGGAGTTTCACATTGCATCATACAACACTAATACACTGTCACTAGCATCTTGTACCCATACTCATAATGCATTCATCTTATCATTGTTCCTCTATATGTTAATTTTGTATTATGGAAATAGGAAATTACGCAGATCTTTCATTGTCCGTTTAGCTCTGAAATGCCTTACTGCCTCATCATCTTCTAAATAAAGCACTACCTTTTCGTTTCATGCGGTTTCCTTTGAGTAGGCGTACGGTTTCTCAGCTCTGTGTTACAACTTCCTGGCAAACTAAGGTCAGTTTGAAACCACCACAATCCATAATACGTGTTAAGTTTTTATTAACTCCATTCTCTCCTGTCTGTCTTTCAGCTGGGAAAGGCTACCACTTGAGCAAACACGTCTTGACCCCTGTGTCGGAACCTGTCGATTACAAAGACATCAGCTTCAATGACGCCCACGCGAAGATCCACAACGTCATGCGGACGACGCTTGGCATCATAAAGAGGCGTTTTAGGTGTCTGATGCAACTCGGTTTTGCCCAAGAAGGCTCTATGGACAAAAAATCAAACATTATCAAGGCGTGCTGTGTGCTGCACAACATCGCCAAGAAGTTCTCCGTCCCTCCCCCGCCTGCAGCTGGTAGAATTGAGCCCCTGCATCCAGGCAAGCAACGCTCAGCGCCCGTGGAGAGCAACCCGGAGGCCCTGTTGGCCAGACAGGAGCTCATCAATAAGTTCTTCTCCAGGGCCCCCAAAAACCAGGAGCCACAGAGTAAGGACATCACAGAGGACGAGGATGTGTGAGCAGAGTGGGTGTGTAGGACGCTAAAGATGATCAACGTGCATAAAGGACAAACACTGGAACCAGAATCCAGCTATAACGCTAAAGTTTGACACTAATATGTAAATGTGACAGCGTACTGGGTTTTTCATAAAAACACATTCAGGTATTTTTGTTAATAAAAAATAGTTTATTTCTTGTACAAATAGAAAATCATTCTTTTCTACCTACATTTCTTTTTCATTCTGCGGTCATCTGTTCCCTCACATGATATAAGATTAACAAGAATACACATTTGGTAGATACGAGAGACAAAAGAATGTACAAGTTAAATAAAATCAAGAGTGTTATACATGTACAGTGAATATATACGACTTCAATGTATTACGTATTTACAGTTTATTACAAAATATAGCATGTAGACATTAGGATTAGTTTGTCATTAAGTGCTTAAAGGACTGACTTGAGTGCTGCCAGTCTTCTTTAGGCATTTGCATTATGAAACTCCCGCAGCGCAGTGGCGTTGGCGTATATCATGTCCGCGTTCTCGTATATGTTCTCCTCTGTCTTCTCACGTGGCTGCAGACTGTCCATGATGCATTGGTGCAGGAACACATACTGGGACTGAGAATAGATAGACCAAAAATGTGCTGGTCATTTAAAAAGCAGAACCTTGGTTTTAGAGCGTTGGTATTCACTTCCTTGTAGATTTTTTACAAGCCTCAAAGTTTCCTAATAATGTAGGTCAAGCTTTTGGGTTTTGGGCGTATTATAAGCAGGGTTCTCACAGTCATTAAAGTCCTGGAAGAGACTGTTTTACCAATTTTAAATCCAAAGCTGCATGGCATGACCCTTTAAATGTCACTAGTTTAACGTCATACATAGACCAGAGTGGCATAGTGTCGTTGCCAAGGCAGCACTCCCTGTTGGGGTGAAAACAAGCTGTCACACCAAGAGAGCAACAGGAAAAGGCTTTAACGCTGAAATCTGCGGCACTTCAGATGTGTGAATATTTGCTGTCAGTGTGGTTAATCACTAAATGACGCTGGTGACAGTTACTACTGATGGACAGCTAATGTTGGCCTGAGTGGTATAGTATAGCAGCATCACACTGTCCTCTCCGACTGAATCTCAGAATAAATCAGTTAGCTGTTAATAGGTAGGTTATTAGCAGACAGCACTTAGCCAGTCCATACCTGGTGATTCAAATACACATATTTGATCAAAGCACTAGGGGTCGGATATCTGTGCATGAAATACCCGGTCGTGTCTTGGTTCAGAGATCCACTTGAAGAGGGGAAGACTGAAGGGGCATGACGGCAATCGACCTTCATTTATTAAGGTATCACGTACACTCAGGTTCAAGCAAGGTCACAAGACAGTTATTAGACGAGGGCTGCAACTAACGATTATTTTCATTGTCGACTAATCTGTTGATTATTTCTTCGATTAGTCGACTAATCATTTTATTGAAAGTTTGTTCATGTCCTGCATCACCATGAGCAAATTATGAGACAATGAGCCCCTGAGCACAGATATTCAAACTTGTCATCATTTTCTGTCTCTTTGTAGTTATTCTGTGTCTCTTTGTAGTCATTTTGTATCTTTGTAATCATTATGTGTCTCTTAGAGTTCATTTTGTATCTCCTTGTAGTCATTTTGTGTCTCTTATTGGTAATTATGTGTCTCTTTGAGGTCATTTTGTGTCTCTTTGTAGTCATTTTTTGTCTCTTAGTGGTAATTATGTTTCTCTTTGAGGTCATTGTATGTCTCTTTGTAGTCATTTTGTGTCTCTTTGAGGTCATTTTCTGTCTCTTTGTAGTCATTGTATGTTTCTTTGTAGTCATTTTGTGTCTCTTAATAGTTCATTTTGTATCTCCTTGTAATCATTTTGTGTCTCTTTGTAGTCATTTTGTCTCTTTGAGGTCATTTTCTGTCTCCTTGTCATCACTGAGGTCATTTTAGATTTCTGTTAGTCAAGGTCACAAGACAGTTATTAGACGAGGGCTGCAACTAACGATTATTTTCATTGTCGACTAATCTGTTGATTATTTCTTCGATTAGTCGACTAATCATTTTATTGAAAAATGTGTTAGAATGTTGAAAAATGCCAGCCTGTCTCTCCCAAACCCCAAAATTGTGTCATCTAATGTCTTGTTTCGTACTCGAACACAGTGGATTAAGGCCTACATTAATGTGACTGTCTATTTTTTGGTAAATATTTTGACTTGTAAGAGTTTAAAAGGGAAAATATAAAGCAAAATCTCAGACCTATACTTTCAGAGGATGGATAACTACATGGTAATCTCACAAGCTTACACAAGGCCCTTAAAATCTGAAGAGACCCAACCTCAAACAGGAAGTGGTAGCTCAGGCTGAATTAACTTCACGCAATCAGTTTTACCTCTGTCTGCACCATGTACGGTCGGCTCAGTCTCATCTTGTACACGAAGCCTTTGATGCCCACTGCTCTTTGTTTCGCAAGCTGCTGAAGCAGCACATCCAGGGCTATGATAGTGCCTGTCCTCCCCACTCCAGCACTAAGGGAGAGAGACACAGGGAAGGGTAAGCAGTTAGTGTCCAGGTAGATTTCTTTCTTCCTCATTAGCACCTGCATACTCACAACTTTCATGAAAACTAAGCCAGTAAACAATTTAAAAGCTGGTGTTTTATTGAAAATTCAAATACATATACTGTATATTGTGAGACATAATAGCTTGCCTTAGGTGGATTTCATATCAAAGTGCCCAACAAATGGCGTGGGCTACTCTCCACACTTCACTGATTCTGTACCTGCAGTGAACCACAGTTGGCGCTCCGGTCCCTGTGCTCTCTATGTGCTGTCTCACCAGTCCTCTGAACTGGATCAGGACTTCTGTGCCCTGTGGGACTCCGTGGTCAGGCCAGGCGGTGAAGTGAAAATGTTTCACTGTGCGCTCCTCCGAGGTGTTCCTCTGTACAGATGATTTACACAGAGGAATTTGAATACTAAACATCTATGTCTTGAAATATATTAACATCGAGTCTATACTGTTACACTATAAACATTTTAGAGGTGTTACGTACTTGTTTCAGCCTAAATTCCCTCAGTGTCCAGTTGGGCTCCTGCTGCTCAGAGCTGACAGTGACCAACAGCTCTCCATAAGGGCAGGGCTGACTGTCTGCAGGCCAGTATTGTTCACACTTAATCTAGGAAAAAGAAATATACATAAAAAAAATTAGGTGAATGATGTTTTTTTTATGTCGTTGTAGCAGTAAGCATCAATGAACATCAGTTCTAGATCTATATCAGTTCTTTATGGTGACTGAAAAACCCACAACAATAATTGTGTGTGCACAACAGGGCGTATAAACTCTCACCATTTGGCAACAAGTAGGTATTGAGTGCAAATGACTCACAACGGGTCACTGATTCCAGTTTTCACTTCCCTTAAAATCTGACAATCAAACATTCTCAGATCTTCCCAATGACTCACCCGTCCGTTCTCCGTGCAGTTGGTTACCATAACAATGCCTTTTACTCTTTGCTCCCAGATCATCCTCCAGAAATCATCGACTGTGGCGGGCAGAGGACCCTGAGTGGCGATGAATTCTCTGTTGCTGTTGTAGCCCTGAGAAGCAATCGTCAAAGTTAACATGAGCACTTGACTCACTAGTTTGTTCATGTCCTGCATCACCATGAGCAGATTATGAGACAATGAGCCCCTGAGCACAGATATTCAAACTTGTCATCATTTTCTGTCTCTTTGTAGTTATTCTGTGTCTCTTTGTAGTCATTTTGTATCTTTGTAATCATTATGTGTCTCTTAGAGTTCATTTTGTATCTCCTTGTAGTCATTTTGTGTCTCTTATTGGTAATTATGTGTCTCTTTGAGGTCATTTTGTGTCTCTTTGTAGTCATTTTTTGTCTCTTAGTGGTAATTATGTTTCTCTTTGAGGTCATTGTATGTCTCTTTGTAGTCATTTTGTGTCTCTTTGAGGTCATTTTCTGTCTCTTTGTAGTCATTGTATGTCTCTTTGTAGTCATTTTGTGTCTCTTAATAGTTCATTTTGTATCTCCCTGTAATCATTCTGTGTCTCTTTGTTGTCATTTTATGTCTCTTTGAGGTCATTTTCTGTCTCTTAGAGTTCATTTTGTGTGTCTTTGTAGTGATTTTCTGTCTCCTTGTAGTCATTTTGTGTCTCTTAGTGGTAATTTTGTATCTCTTTGTAGTCATTTTGTGTCTCTTTGAGGTCATTTTCTGTCTCTTTGTAGTCATTTTGTGTCTCTTAGTGGTAATTATGTGTCTCTTTGAGGTCATTTTGTGTCTCTTAGAGTTCATTTTGTATCTCCTTGTAGTCATTTTCTGTCTCTTTGTAGTCATTTTGTGTCTCTTTGAGGTCATTTTCTGTCTCTTTGTAGTCATTTTGTGTCTCTCTGTAGTCATTTTGTGTCTCTTTGAGGTCATTTTGTGTGTCTTTATAGTGATTTTCTGTCTCCTTGTAGTCATTTTGTGTCTCTTAGTGGTAATTTTGTATCTCTTTGTAGTCATTTTGTGTCTCTTTGAGGTCATTTTCTGTCTCTTTGTAGTCATTTTGTGTCTCTTAGTGGTAATTATGTGTCTCTTTGAGGTCATTTTGTGTCTCTTAGAGTTCATTTTGTATCTCCTTGTAGTCATTTTCTATCTCTTTGTAGTCAGTGTATGTCTCTTTGTAGTCATTTTGTGTCTCTTTGAGGTCATTTTCTGTCTCTTTGTAGTCATAGTATGTCTCTGTAGTCATTTTGTGTCTCTTTGAGGTCATTTTCTGTCTCTTAGAGTTCATTTTGTGTGTCTTTGTAGTGATTTTCTATCTCCTTGTAGTCATTTTGTGTCTCTTAGTGGTAATTTTGTGTCTCTTTGTAGTCATTTTGTCTCTTTGAGGTCACTGTCTGTCTCCTTGTCAACACTGAAGTCATTTTAGGTTTCTATTAGTCATTTTTGTATCTCTTTGTTGTCATTTTGTGTCTCTTTGAGGTCATTTTGTGTGTCTTTGAGGTCATTTTGTGTCTCTTAGTGGTAATTATGTGTCTTTTTGAGGTCATTTTGTGTCTCTTAGAGTTCATTTTGTATCTCCTTGTAGTCATTTTGTATCTCTTAGTGGTAATTATGTATCCCTTTGTAGTCATTTTGTCTCTTTGAGGTCATTTCTGTCTCTTTGTAGTCATTTTGTGTCTCTTTGTAGTCATTGTATGTCTCTTTCTAGTCACTGTATGTCTCTTGTAGTCTTTTTGTGTCTCTTCAAGGTTATTTTCTGTCTCCTCGTCATCATTTTCTGTCTCTTTGAGGTCATTTTAGGTTTCAATTAGTCATTTTGTATCTCTTCAAGGTCATTTGTGTCTTTGTGGTTGTTTTGCCCCTTCTGTAGTTGTTTTGTGTCTCTTTGAAGTTTTTTGTTTTTTACATCACTTATTAGTCATTTTGAGTCTCTGGTCAGTACCTTTTAATTTAAGTTACATTTTACAGTTCAGTAATCCATTCATGTACGTTGCTCGGTATGAAATAACACATTTTCTGCTCATGAAATCACACACAGTCAACATAAATGTACATGAGAGATGTTTCAGCAATCATTTACCAAAGATAATTAATGGCTCAAGCTTATCAAATCTGCCCTTTGACCATTATTGAGTAAGACTTACTGGCATGTAACTGGCATTAATGTAGTCAGAGGTTTCATTGTGACTGGATGAAGTTAGTTTCACCCGACACCAGTCATCTAGGACGAGAAAACAGAAGATAGTTAACACTGCAATGCACCACAACAAAGTTGACATAACCTGGAACAAGTCCACGAATCAGGACAATTTCACAAATCTTTATTGCTCAAATGGACAGGCTTACATGGCTGGACATTGTTGAAACGATTCCTCGTTTTGTTCTCAGGTAGACCCGCTGCCTTACGTGTTTGCTCTGTGCCCACAGGCGCGAGGCTCTGCATGGAAGTTGGCAGATGACACGGCATGCAATTTAGACAAAGGTCAATGGAAAGCAAGTGAAATGATAAAAAAAAAAAAAAATAGGAAGACACAGAAGAGGAAGAACAAAATACAATTCACTTTTTTACGTACATCATATTCCTGGGTAAAACCTCTGTTCTCATCTGCACTTAACTGGGCGAAGTGGTCTGGGAACTTTGCCACAGAAATTGCTCTGACAAAAAAAAAGTAGAAGAGAGTAGTAGAGTAGTTCTTGTCACATCGTAATGACATGTAAAACAATTGACGTACATAAATACTACAGAATAATGATTAACATTAAGCAGTAATCAGCAGAGTACACTATAATTTTTTCATAGGTGTTTAAATTACAGATTATTTTGTAATCATACAAAACCTAATTTTCTTTTAATGAAGATAATAATGAAGAAATGATGAAACGTACTTGCACTTTTTATCGGCTTGTCTGGAACCACCAATGAATGACTTTTTCCTGCTGTGGGAAAGAGGCAAAGAGGTCTCTGACTGAGTCTCACTGAGTACACAATAGTAGAAAATAAACTATAGTCACTGAGGCAGCACCAACCTGATTATATCTGGTCTTTTCAAAAAAATGAAGACAGCCAGACAGACCAGGATAGCAAAAAGCAGAACAGCAAATACTGACCCTGCAATGACTCCTACAGGGAGAAGAATCTGGATTGAATGCTTTGTAATATACAATAGACACTCAACATAGTAGACACCGAAGCCAAACCACAAACAAGTCATGGAACGGATGACAAACAGCACAATAATAAGGAAAAAGTGAGAATATATGGTACAGAATTTCTACAGTGTAATACAGTCACTTTGACTCACCCCTTGGATCAGTAGAACACTGAAAAACAAATGGTTCATAACTCCTCTCTAGCCCAGACAGTGAAGTTAGAGACACCTCATATGTTCTGGCAGGTAGGAATCCAGGGATTGTGAGTTGCCGTTGCCCATTATCAGCCACTATGTGACTATCCCCCATCACATTCACCTCCACGTCAGTCCACACACCTTCAGGTTCATTCCAGACAATAAGGATAGAGTAGCCAGCTGCCCAGTACTTGCAGTGAGCACTTAACATTGGAGGCACTGAATAAAACAAGTAGAAATATGCCGTTAAAATACAATCAAAAAGGGAAAAACCAACAGTGTATCTATATCATTTACAATATTCTCATCAAGGTCTCCAAGGACAAAATGGGGCAATAGTTTATTTCCACTATTTCGTTTAAAATAGAAGTGAGCCCAATGCGAGTAAGGGTGCTTTCATTATGCTTCCTTGCATCCTCTCTCCTCCTGTGACCCAGGGTTCGCTCCCCCTCCGCCATCACGGAGGGCCTTCCAACCGCTTAAATGCACCTCGAGGAAACAAGGAGCGACAAGGTTTCGGGAGAAGCTTAGAGTGAAGAAACACAAGTGCGTCCTACATGTCTCTCTCATATCTCTCTTACATCCCTGCTGGGAGGAGGTAAAACGCAAGGAAGAGATGCCAGTGAGGGAAGTGGGGAGACTCCGTTAGCGTAACGAAAGGCACCTTAAGAGTCATAAGACATGAGAGTGATTCACTTCCCCCAGGGTTGTCTCCTCAACTGTAGCTGACAAATATAGAATCGGTCTTTATCACAGCTAACAAACAAAATCTTTTTAGATGGAGGTCCCTGAAGCATCTAATCAACTGGGCGTCAGAGAGGTTGAGATCCTCTGCCTTAGATCATTGGTCTGGTTTTGAGTACTCACAAAAATAAATTACATGAATGTACTTAGCACTTCCCACCACCAGTATGGTTACAAATCTTTAAAATCTTTATTCTTGAAATCTGGCTTGAGTAAGATCATGTTAGTACTTTATTTATACATTATTTCTTTGGAACTTTCAGACAAATATTCAGTTAATGTGGAAAGAAAGATTTGTACTTACTGATTGTCAACGTGTGGTTACACTGAGAAAAGGAGATGGAATCTTTTTCATACACAAGAGACATGTTGTAGGTCGCGCCAGGGTAAAGATCTGTAAATGTCACATTGCTGCCTCCAGGGCTGACATGAATTTGTGATTGATTAGTGACTGTGGCATTCGAGAACAAGCCTTCAACCACTCCTTGGATTGATGAGTTCGTAACACGCCAGCTGACATTGGCACAGTCTATTTCTGAAAGAAATGTCAAAATAATTGTGTTAGCACATAATTCAATCAAAAAACAATAATTTTCCAGAACTAGGACAATGTAAATTTACATGTGGGACAAAATTGTATTATTCATGTTGAATAACATCCACTAATGACAGTGTTTGGAGAGTGTCAGAGAGAAGGTGTGTACTTGTTACTGTGAAGCCTTTGTACGCAGTGCTGTTGTGTCCAGAGAATTCTGTGATCACGCTGAAAGGATACGCTGTCCCAGGCTGGAGAGACGTGACTGAACGGGACACAACATCTGAGTCTGGACCTCGGAGACTTTGGGTAATTCCTCCATCAATTAGGAGAAAGTAGTTCCAGTCTTTATTCACATTCTGCCACGTCAGGTTTATGCTGGTCACGGAGCGTTCAGTCACATTGACCAAAGGCACCATTGAGGGAACTGAAAAGATACACACACCCCGTATCGATGTGAATAAATTTGGTAATGACTTACAGATCTGGAGAGAGTCCTTGGATAAAATAGAGCAAAATGCTGTGTGTGTTTCAAAACATTCACCCTGAAGATCTACTCTGATAGGTTGTGTTTAATGTCAAGAGCATAAGTTCAGTGTCATTTTACTTAAATGATGGGAGGGACTATTTGTTAGAGGCTTGTGTATGATTTGCATATCATAAGCAAAATAGCTGGCTCCACTTTTATACTCAAAGGTCACCTACCAGTAACAGCGCAAAACGAGAATCCAGTGCTGTTGACTTTCTCAAAGCGAGTGATGAGGGTGAAATTATATTTTGTCCCGGCATTAAGTGAAGAGACCTCATAGGTAACTGATGCCTCTTGATTGACCTCAATGAAACTTCCATTGTTATCATATTGTAGGAAGTAAGTTGAGATGTCGTTTACCTTGTCCCACTTCAGAGTTATACTACTCTCATTCTGTGTCACCACAGTTACGTTGTTAACGTTTGCTGGAGCTGGAAAAGGAGAGAGGACACACAGTTGTTTCATTTATGACCGACCTGTGAGATTTTTTTATTCGAAGTTAGTAGCATTATTTTTTTTTTTTTTCTTTACTTAAAGCATGTTAGTAGAATAATTTGTTGTTAGTTTTTTTTTTACTTAAAGCATGTTAGTAGCATAATTTGTTGTTAGTTTTTTTTACTTAAAGCATGTTAGTAGCATAATTTGTTGTTAGTTTTTTTTACTTAAAGCATGTTAGTAGCATAATTTGTTGTTAGGTTTTTTACTTAAAGCATGTTAGTAGCATAATTTGTTGTTAGGTTTTTTACTTAAAGCATGTTAGTAGCATAATTTGTTGTTAGTTTTTTTACTTAAAGCATGTTAGTAGAATAATTTGTTGTTAGGTTTTTTACTTAAAACATGTTAGTAGCATAATTTGTTGTTAGTTTTTTATTTGAAGCATGTTAATAGCACAATTTGTTACTGTAAAAAAAAGCTTTCATTACATTCTGATATTTTCTCAAAAACAGTCCTATTGTTAATTGTCATTAATTATTGGTAATTTTATGAAAACACATTTGTGTCACATTTGTTGAAACTGTCACTATATTCTATATTCTCCTTCTCTTTCCTACTGCTTCTTGTTGTATTTACTAAAATTTACCACGCCGCACTCAACGCAAACAACCAATCAGAGCCCAGGAGTTTTTAACCCAGCTGTCAGTCACTGCTGGTTAACTTCACTCAAACTGTCAAATATGAATCAAGATTCTGTCACTGCATTTCTTGCCTCAGGACATATTTTAGTGTACAGTTTTGCTGTAAAATGAGAGGGTTTGTGACCTGGTCGCCATGTTGGAAACGGTCGACCAAAGTACCAAGCACACTGGCTGGACCAGCTTTCTCATCTTACAGCTAAACAGTACACTAAAATATCTCTGAAAAACACTTAAGGCTAGAAATAGGTAATGCATTGATGGAATTTTGTATTCATATTTGATCAGCGCTGCCTAGTTTGACAGTTTGATTGCAGTTCACCAGCAGTGACTGACATGATTGACAGCTGTGTTAAAGACTCCTTGGCTCTGATTGGTCGTTTCTGTTCACATGCGGTAATTCCATTAGAGGAGATACAAGGCAAAAGAGTAGGCAGAGGTAAATCAATTTTTTCACAGATTATCTGCCTTATTTAGTGCTGTGAGAATATGGAGACAATTTCCGCAAATATAAAACAAGTTATTTTTTATTAAAGTTATAAACTGCAGCTTTAAGCGAGCAACAGCCATCTGTTATTAACACTTAAAAATTAAGCTATCATTAGAGCTCTGGCTGTTGTTGTAGGCCTACATCAGTGGTAAAACATCTTACCAGTGACTAATATATAAACAAAAATATATACAAAAATATATAATCTACCACAATCAAAAATGTTACTGTTACTCAGAAACTTAAATTCAAACAAAAAAAAAATGTCCTGGCTGTTGTTGTTGGCCTGTATCAGGAGAGAACCATCTTACCAGTGGGTGCACTGTAGTTTACTCCACTGCTTCTCACAGTTTCAAACAGACTGTAGAGGGTGAAGTGATATTTCGTCCCACTTTTGAGCTCCGTGACTGTGTGTTTCACTTGAAGTCCCGCTGAAGCAGCAACATTAATCTCCATTTTATTGAACATAAGTGTATAGCTGAGGACTTCGTTCACTTGTTTCCATTGCAGTGTTATGCTGGTCTCATTTTGTTCAACTGATTCGAACTTTTCTGTGTTACGAGGTGCTAGGATGTAAAAAGACATGGACAAAAAGCTATTATACGACTGTGTTATTGAAAAACTTAAAAAATTAAAAATTGAAAAAATTAAAAAAAAATTCAAATCAAAACTTCACAGAGCTTCAGGCTCTTGTTATATAGTCCTATGAGAGGAAAATTCACTTACCAGTAAATGCAATTGTGTTTATTCCGCTGCTTCTGGCATTTTCAAACACAGCAAAGAGAGTGAAGACGTATCTCCTCATGCTTTCAAGGTCTAAGACTGTGTATGTCATTGGATCTTCCTCTGATACAGTGATGTTTATCATCGTTTCATTGAACTCAAGTGTATAGTTGAGGACACCGTTCACTTTTTCCCACTGTAGGGTTATACTGATCTCATTTTGGCGAACCGCTTTGAACTGTTTTGCATTAAGGGGAGCTAGGGTGTAAAGAGACATTTGTCTTCATAAATAAAGTTTTGTTTTGTTCAAATGACTAAGACAAAGCTGTGTGGAAATGGTAATTACAAGTACAATAAAATTCAGCACTGTAATTTAATTCAATCCAAATGTAAGATCACCTACCAGTGACAGCGTCAAATCTGTATCCAGTACTGTTGACTCCCTCAAACTGAGTGATGAGAGTGAAATGATATATGGTCCCAGCAGTGAGCGAAGAGACCACATGTGTAACTGATGACCCTCCCTCTGGCGCAAGGATAGTGTCCACCTCAAGATGACCTTCTTTATGATATTGTAGGAGGTATGTTGAGTTGTCGTTAACCTTGTCCCACACCAGAGTTATACTGTTCTCATTTTGTGTCAACAAATTCACGTCCGGCACATTTTTAGGAGCTGAAAAGACAAAGAATTGACGGTTACAGTAAAGAAAAAGAGTTTGGTGTGAGACTTTCACCACATTAGACATCACAATTTGCCTTCACACAGCCTGCAAGTGACATCTCTTGTCTATCTCTCCCTTGCTCCATTCAGTACCAACGACAGTGGTTTGGGTGGGTGTGCCAAAAAATGACAAGGCAGTGTTCCAAGTAAGTTATTAGTAACTTACAAGAAAACTGCGTGCAATAGTCCACGTTCCACCCTCTTTTTCCCTCCGTTACTCTCCTTTTTTTCTCAAACACACACACACCTTGGAGAGCATTCCTAGTCTCTGTCTGTGGCAGTGTCGCAAGTGTTGGGTTAATGCAGGGGATCGCAACATGAAAACTATGACGGGACAAATTAAATTTAATATTTATTTCATACTACTACTACTAATAGTAATAATAATAGCCTAACTAAAAAAAAAAAATAGCCTAAATTAAACAAGCCAAAAATCATCTTGACATTGGCAAAGGAATTGGCTACATTGGCAATCGGTACAACTATAAAGAAAATTAGACTGTAGAGACCAGCGTGTCCACAATACAGAAATTGTATATATTTTTTAAATAAGGGTGCTTTCAGACCTAGAGTTGTCTTGCTTTTGTCCAAATCATGGACTAATTTTGTTACAAAGTTGGATAATTGCCTAGAGTTGGTTCGTATTCTCATGGCAGCATTTACAAGCGGACCAGATAAAATGCCTTGTGCGAGAAAGCTGCTTTTGATTGGTCAGAATTTCAATGCGGGAAAAATACAGGAAGTAAACAAAACGACACTTTCTAATGTCACAATGGAGGCACAGCTACACAAGTTGATTTTAGCGCTGGTCATTGTGGACTATATTGCTTGCATTGTTCATTTTAGTCAAACCATACAATTTGAAAACGAGGCGTGGCTCCAACTAGAAAACAATGTTTTGATGCATTGGATGTGCTGAATGTGCATATTAAGGCAGTACAGGAGGAGGCGCACATTAATAATCCTCCAGGACTGTAACATGCTCATGTTTAACCCAAACAAAGTGTAATGTGACTGCAGTTGGTTCGGATCTAGTTTGGAACACGTTTATTTGTAACCGAACTGAGACCAATTCTTTCAGAAGGTCTCGGTCCAGGTGTTTTGGTGCGCACCCAAGAGTGATTGCTGTGTTCACTTAGGGGGGCAAACAAACTTAAGTTCAGTTGAGCCAAACCAAACAGGGCAGGTGTGAAAGCACCCTTAGATTGCAAGGTGTGTGTGTGTGTGTGTGTGTGTGTGTGTTGGGGGGTGGGGCACCACTAAGCAGTTACACTTAGGGCACCTGAATGGCCAGCAGCGGCCCTGTCTGTGCTACAGCATGAGGAAATAAAGACATGTCACCAACCAAAGATAAAAGACAGTGGCACCACTTTAGTACGTGATCAGTTTGATTCAACTTATTCACAATTATTTTATAAGCAACAGTCAAAAATTTTAAGTGAGCTAAATCTCTCTATTATTAAGAAATGTTCCATTAGATATTGTTGCAGAGCTCTGTCCTGACTCTTGTTGTTGGCCTGTATCAGGAGAAAACCATCTTACCAGTGGGTGCACTGTGTTTTACTCCACTGCTTCTGACAGTTTCAAACACACTGTAGAGAGTGAAGTCGTATTTAGTCCCACTTGTGAGCTCTGGGACTGTGTATTTTATTGGTTCCTCTTCTGTCGATGCAGAAATGTTTATCTCCTTTCCAAAATACACAAGTGTATAGTTGACGAAATCATTCACGCTTTTCCACTGCAGAGTTATATTGGTCTCACTTTGTTCAACTGATTCGAACCCTTCTGCGTCAGGAGGTGCTAGGACGTAAAAAGACATTTATACTGTGAAACAGTGTGATTTAAAAATGACAAGATATCCCTGATAAAATGTTGTGGATATTAAAATAAATAAATAATGCATACGATTTCAGTATTCTATGAGATACAATGAAAAATATCAGATTAGGGGAGCAACATCCCTCTGTCACCCCGAAACTTCACATTACATCTTCACAGAGCTCTGTCCTGGCTCTTGAAATACAGCGATATGAGTGGAAAATTCACTTACCAGTAAATGCAATGATGTTTACTCCGCGGCTTGTGACATTTTCAAACACAGTGAAGAGAGTGAAGTTGTATCTCGTTGTATTTGTGAGGTCTGAGACTACGTATGTCACTGGATCCGCCTCTGATGCAGGGATGTTTATCGTCTGGCCATTGAACACAAGTCTATAGTTGGGGACGTTGTTCACTTTTTCCCACTGTAGGGTTATACTGATCTCACTCTGGTTGACTGACTTGAACCCGTTTGCGTTAAGAGGAACTAGGATGCAAAGAGAAGTTCATGCTCGTAAATATACAGTAATCATGTCTCTATATTATCTATTGCAAGTTGTGTTTTGCTCAATGGGGAAACTGGCAGTTACGGGCACAATTAAACACAGTTTGTTTTCTCTAATCCATTATCTTATCAGCAGCAGTCAAAAATATTCAGTGAACACCCATCTATTATTAGGTTAAGAATATATATGCATGAATGTTGTTGTTATTGGCTTATATCAGAGGAAATACATCTTACTGGTAAATGCAGTGGTGGGTACTCCACTACTTCTGGCATCTTTAAACACAGTGTAGAGAGTGAATTCATGTCTAGTCCCACTTGTGAGTCCTGAGATTGTGTGTCTCTCAGGTTCAGATCCCTCTGATGCAGTGATGTTTGTCTCTTCTTCATTGAGCACAAGAATGTAGTTGAAATTTCCCACTTTTTTCCACTGCAGAGTTACACTGGTGTCAGTTTGGTCAACTGACTGGAAATCTTCGGCATTAAGGGGAGCTAGGATGTAAAGAGACATCGATACTTGTGACTGTACGCATATATTGTCAAGTCTTGCTGCAATATGTATTTTGCTTAACTAGAAAGTGTGTGACATCATACTTACAAGTACATTAAATGCAGCACTTTGTTTTCCATTTGCATATTACAAGCAAAGCACGTGATTCCATATTAAGATCACCTACCAGTGACAGCCTGAAATTTGTATCCAGTACTGTTGCCTCCCTCAGATGAAGTGAAGAGAGTGAAATTATATTCTATTCCAGCAGTAAGCGAAGAGACCACATGTGTAACAGATGGCCCTGCTTCTAATGCAATGATAGGAACCACCTTGAGACCCTCGTTATCATACTTTAGGAAGTATGTTAGTATGTTGTCAACCTTGTCCCACACCAGAGTTATACTGTTCTCATTTTGTGACAACACCTGCACGTCCTTGACATTGTCAGGAGCTGAAAAAAAAGAGTTGGTAGTTTAAAGATAAGAGTTCAGACTTACACCACATCAGACATCATACCTGGCCTTGCATAAGTCTGTGCTATGGGGAAAAGATAAAGAAAAGATAAAGGACAGGGACTCAAACTCACGTGGTTGTGTTGTTGCAGGGGTTGTCGTTGTAGTCGTTGGCGGTGCTGCCGTCGTTGTGGCTTCTGTTGTGCTAGTCACTGTTGTTGTAAGCGTTGTGCTTGGCGTTGATGTTTGTGCTGGTGTTGACGCTGGTGTTGATGGTGGTGTTGGTGTAGCATTGGAGTCAGTGACAACCTAAAAACAGAATAGGAATTGTTCGTGCAGGATGAATGACCTAGCCCCCCCCTCCCCAAATATGTAATTTCAGAGTGGGGAGATTTTTCTCATCCGAAAGGGAGGGGCAAAGGAGAGACCGTCAAGCCTCTTGAGGCCAACTTGTGATTTGTGATACTGGGCTATATCGGTTAAGAAGTGTTCATGTAACTATGGACTCTACACAGCTGAGAGAAATCTAATGCAACCTCTGAGAATCCCAAAGCAATGTAATTTCAGCTACTATAATGTATCTAACACACTGTGAACACTAGAGGTGTTCTACTTTACTTAGTACACAATCTTTTCTCAGAGAAAAGCTCAAAAACGTGGATAATCTACATACAACTTCAGACAAATATGATGTTGCTGTGCAGGAAGCTGAAGGAAACATCTGAGATGTTCAAATGCAAATTATGGCCAGGAAACTGTAGCATTTTGTACTCTGCCCTTACATCTCAAGTGCAACAACACCGAAGAAATGTTACTAAAAAAGCTGACTCAGAAAACATTGCTTTTAATGGCAACTTCCTTTCATGATATGCATATATTTGTACACAGCAGTCAAATATCTTCCATGGGCTACATTTTATGTTTTAGGTATAACAGTATCCAGTTACATCACCTACTCTGAAATAGACAATAAACAAGATATCAAATGTTGATGGTAGTGTGCAGCTCCCTTCATGTTTTACATTACGTTATTTCCTCATTGATGCTTTTGTTTCTCTGAGGAAGTTAGCGAGAATCAACTACTGCAGCCGGGAAAGAATGAATTCATTATTTCACCATCTGAAAAAGTCCATCATTCTCATATTGTGCAAGTCTTTTTGTTTTCCTGTGCATACTGATATTTCAGAGAACAGAATGCCACTGTCTAAACTTGGTTATGACTCATACTATGCATTTAACCATCAATGTGGTTTTAACACTTTTCTTTTGTTGAGGGTAACCTCCTTTTGAATAGGTAGATGATCTGATCACTATCAAAGTGGAAAGGTAAAAAAAAGAAAAAAGAAAAACTTACCCAAAGTAGACTCAGGAAGACGCACAGCCGAAAGTGGTCTGAGGTGACTTTGAAAGATAAAGGCTTCATCGTTATCACGGTTAATTAAGCTACACGCATACTATGAACTTGTTCAATTCCTTTGTTGTCCAAAGATAACCTTCAAGTTTCTGTTTTCAGTATACTTCCACGGGTGTGTTGACAAAAACAGCAACACTTGAGGTTGACAAAGAATTTCTTCGTGTCTGAGGTAACGCAGTCCAATATTAACTTTATCCCAGTGATGTTGTCTTTTAATTCTTAACCATGTCCTCCCTCTGTAATCTCTGGTCCCCTCTCATATTGGCAAGTGACTACGTAAATAGCTGCTTCTCCTTTTTGGCCTTGAACAACCACAGAGACCTTTGCCCCGCCTGTTACTTCCTTATTAACGGTTATAATATGCTACTTGTCAAAGGTAAGTCAATCAAGTAAATTTGCCTGTTTTACATGATTGGCAGTGGTAATGTCTTTATAGCTGCTGTTTGTTTGACATAACCAGTTTCATGTTTGTGACCACCTGTGTATCTTTATGATGTGTAAATAAAAGATGACACTTTGTCTCATAAACCCAGGCAAAACTTTTTAAATGCTGCTCAGTATAAATGATATTAATTTGTTTTCCAACTCTTAAAAAATTATATTTTTATATAGTTTATATTTATATATATATATATATTATAAAAAATCATTGACAAGGATCTTCAGTCTGACTGGTTTCACACATTTGCTTTTGGTTTCTCTGCACTGTCTTGCAAGGCAGTGATATTTATAGCTTCCCTGTGGTTGACATAAGGAACTGCAAAAAACATCTCTAACACACGTTTATGGTGTCAAATGGTGGTGCAGCCGTCAATAAAAATGCTGCTGTATCAAAGAAAACGTTGTCTGACGTTGACAACTGGGGAAACACGCGGAGGAAGTAACCTTTATAAATGATAATTTTCTTCATATTTAGGTATTACATGATATCCCTCTGGAACATAATAACTGTGAGCTTCCTTATTAGATATAGAGCACAAGTAGCGCTTGTATTGAAAAGCATTTACAGTCAACATTTATGCAAACCTAATGTATTTTATGATATATGGCCCCTGTCTGCATGATTTTTCATGATATTTAAAGATTATTTTCAGTCTAAAGTTATTGAAAAGTGCAGTTCATCAAGTTTTCACAAAAAGAATTACAACAATTTTGAATGACAATAAATAAATAAATAAAACCTAACATGACTAAATTTTGCAATAGCGTGGAGCATTGGTCAATAGGTTTCTCAAATTACTTTTGCTTTTAACTGAAACCTTTCTACAGGCTACTATACTACTACTAATACAGACAAAAAATAACTTTGCAGTACAACATGTGCAAATATAGAGAAAAATGTCATCGCAAATATAAGATGATTTTGAAGAGAGAAAGGCCCAAAACCTCAGTGCAATACAAAACCATACAACTGAATGGTTATTTGAAGCACTATTGGATTCCCAGACTATCAAAAGTCTTGCTCTGACCCGGGCTGGTAGTATGTGAAGTCATTCTGTGCACCATATGTATCCTACTTAGCATTGCTATGAGCTCAACACATAATACATTGCACTTTAAATCAGTCCTTTTCTCTTAGACTGATGCTGAGAAGCTCAACCATGACTTTGATCTCAACTGTTTCAGTTCCCTCCTGACTGGTCCACCTTCCCAGATCCTCATTAAATTGCAGCATGCACATACCGCAACACTTGTCTCCAATTATCAACCCACACTTGCCACTACACTACTCCAGGATATCCACTGGCCTCCTGTCCACCGCAGGACTTTATACCCTGCCCTCTCCTCACATTTATACACTGGCTTTTGATGCAATTAGTCATGTGTGTATGCTGATATGCTTAATCAGGATCTATGTTATCATCGCCACTCATAACTTCATTATTGTCTTGACTGATCACTGTGCGACTCTTTGTTTTTTGTTTAGAAATTTGTCATTTTAAAGTACTATGGCCCTATTTATTCTAACTATTAAAACATTAGCTGATATAACACTGGGTTGTCTGTGCAATTTGTTTAGGTAAGACTGAACATACTGTTGAACACTCTCACGTGTATGGAAGGGTATTGGTATTTTTAAGAGAGACAGGGCTGGAACGAAGGATTTAAATGGGTGTTTGTTTATTTTTTTTTTTGTTTGTTTTTTTTTATTTTGTTTCCTGTTACTCTCCTGTTCACACTCCAGTCCAGAGGGTGGCGGTAATGCTCCAGTAAGTTGGTTGCCAACCGCCGTAAAACCAAACAGAAGAAGAAGAAGAACACTCTCACGTTGTCTGACACATGCAATGCGTCTCCAACACAGCAGGTGGCAGTAGAGATGCGCGGTGAGCATGAACACACAAGCGAGCTAGCATAACTGGCTAATGTTAGCGGGGGGAGGGTCTCAGTCTCTGTTGTTGTGTGAACAAGATAAAGTCAGCCACAGTTCTGGCGAAGAGGAGCAGCGACACGTTCACAGACCAAGTAAGTGACAAAAAGCGAATGTGGCATTAACATATAATAGACTGCGCCAACTAAACGTTAGCCACAGTCAGGTTCAGCTAACATATCCGTGTGTTTACTGTCACTGGAAGCTAACCTAGCTAACGTTAGCTAACGCTTGTAACCTCAGCTAGCTGTCTGCGCTAACGTGTAGCGTTTGTAGCTATTTATTTTAAGTGCTTTCAACAAACGAACTGTAGTCGCAGCTTTTGACTTTTGTGGTAAAGTTAACGTCATCTGTACTTAAACTACTGTTATCTAATGTAACGGACGTTGGTCGACGTTCAGCTCACTACAATAGCTGACATGACATGCTAGCATTAGCCTAACTTTCATAACACCTGACCAGTAAAGTTACAGCCCCCTTGAACTCGTTGTATTTCATGACACATGACGACTGGTGTTTTACTGGAGCCGTTAAACACTGGTTGCATAAAAGCTTGCCAGCAAAGGCGTGCAGGACTTTGATAAGCTCACTTCACAGAGCGAGTGAGCAAAACACTTTGTGAGCCAAGTTAGCTTGTTGAGAAAGCGAGGTAAGAAATAATTCCTGATCGTATGCACTGTTTTGTGCTGTGAAACGGGACACCTATCTTTCCGAAGTAAAGTAAAGGCATTGTCTAATTTAGGGCTTGTTTGCCTTTCAGTCGTATTGATTGCATTATTTTTATCTTCTAGAAATGCAGTCTGTGGTGAAACAAAACCTCCACTCGGAGACTGAAGGAGACGTCAACAAACTCATCAACCTGAAGCTCAATGCATCCTACACCTTCCTTGCTCTGGTAGGATTTCTTTAAGAGTATCTTTAATCCACAGCAGTATAGTCCCTGTATGACTAGTCATGTTTAATATGCAGTGTATTTAAATTCTGATATTGCATTGAAAAAAAACAGTATAAAATGTGGTGGTGGGGGAAAAAATGAACACAGCATTGTACTGCAATATTTTTGTGTGGCAGTTGAAAAAAGGAAAGAAATCGCACTATATTTTATCTCATATAGCAGCATATTTAAAATCACAATAATATTGAATCGTGACTTAATTGTATTGTGGATCCTCTGGTGATTCCCACCCCTAACAAATTGCCCTCTTTTCTAGGATTCTTCTTTCTTTTCACATGTCTGCACTGTGACCCCTAAACACTGTCTTTCTCTCGTCTCTTCAAGGGGATGTATTTTGACAGGGATGATATTGCCCTGCCAAAATTCTCCACTTTTTTCTTGGAGCGCTCGGTGAAAGAGAGGGAACAAGCTGAGAAGCTGCTGGAGTATCAGAACATGAGAGGAGGTCGGATTTTGCTTCAGACCATTGCCGTAAGTCCACAATGTCCTTTTTAAGGGTTAAGATTATTACATTTATTGGTACACATGTTTATGAAAGTATCAACTTTCTGTTTTAGAAACCAAATAGAGAGGATTGGAGAGGTGGTTTGGATGCGATGTCCTTTTCCCTGGACTACCAGAAGTCCTTGAACACATGTATCCTCGATGTGCACCACAGAGCTGGTGTCCACTCCGACCCTCATGTAAGTCTGGCACTGTTAGATAGCTATAACTGCTACTTGTTATCAGGTTATTGTTCAGTTGTGAGATAGCTAAATATGGGAAAAACAGCCCTACCGTTGCACATTGAAAAACACGTTCAAGATTAAGCTTAAACAATATGTAAGATTTTAGAATGTTTAGTCTATTAAATAAAACTGTCCTAATTTATTATCTATTTGACCATCTTTTTTTAGCATTGTTTTACATCTCACTCGCTATTATCTTCCTTTGTAGATGTGTGACTTCCTGGAGCAGCACTTCCTTAGCGACAGCCATGAGACCATCAAGAAGCTGGGCGATTACGTTGGCAGTCTGACCCGCATCACTGCGTCCGAAACACACGGCCCAATGGGAGAATATCTCTTTGACAAGCACACTCTGTAAAGGTCACTCCAGTACAGCGAAATAAGCTCCACATTTCGAAAGATACATAGAGTCAAGAGGGCAGCAGTCCCTCACATGGTCATGGTGTGTTCTTCTCCGTTTAGAAAGCTATACAATATTTTTAGAGTTTGTTACAAGCGTCTCGTGTCAATGGCAAAAAGAGACGTTCAAAGCAAAATAACAGAAAATACCTCAATTTTTTTCTTGAAAACCACACTCTGAAAAATAGCGTTCCCAATATGGTGCTAACACTACCATTTTCCTCAGCTGTTAAAATGAGGCATTTGTTCATTTAAACTCCGTTACATCATGTGTCATTCATTCCAGTGTGTCAGAGGTTTTAATCTTCACAATTATGTTGTAAAAATGCATATTATTTTAAGTCAAATAGATAATCTGAGATTTGGAATATCATTGAAACTTTGAATAAAGCCAGATTATGCTGATGTGTAATTTTTGTTAGTCTCTTTTTGTTCATTTTACAACTAGTTCAACGGTATGTCCAAAACAGGTATTCATCTCATCTGTCATGCAGTCTTAAAAACACTTTATGTACTTTCCTGCTGCCCTTATAGAACACTGTAAAGATAACAGTGGGATTTTGCTTAGTCACTGTTGGGTGGACGCTTAATGTTTAACATGAGGCTACCAGACAGCTTGTGGTTAAAAATGTCCATGCTGCTTTTTAGTAAATTACATGTTTCAGCCAAGATAAGATTCAGTTACAAAAGTGCGTCAACAGAGTGCATCACAGTGGTGCTCCCTTAGAATTTAAGTTGCAGTCTTGAGACACAGCACTACATCACACCCAAAATACTGAAGGAAAATAGTTAAAGGTATACTATGTAGCATTTTCCTAAAAAACAAGGTATAGAGTCTACAGAAGTAATCCCTCTAAATCATCATTTATCCACTACAAGTGTGTGGTGGTGTATTTTTCTGTGAAGACTCTGCCCTCCGCCTGTATTTTCTTATTTTCTGTGTATGGTATGTTAATTGGCATGTACCCCCACCGCGCTCAGGTGAGGTCGGGGCTTTAATGAAGGAAGGGACCAGATACCAGACTATAAGCAGCAGGCATTCAAGAGACACAGTGTCAAAAATTAGGCCTACTTCGATTATTGCCACGATTATTGCCACGATTATTTGCCATGTCCATTTGCCATGTCAATTATTGCCACGATTATTTGCCATGTCCAAATCAAAGTAATCAAGTAATCAAAAGCTCAGTTTTTATATGTACTGCCCAAAAAAATCCCAAATAGCCTAGTTATTGGTAGTTTCTCAGACAAGGACACAAACAGTTGGCAGGATTATAGATATGCCAGCAAGATGCTTAAAAGTTCAAGTGTCTGAAATAGTTATTATTCCTGCTATTATGGCTCATTTGCGACCTGCGTGCCAACAAAGTGGCAAACTGTCATGTTATTTTTAGCTGCACTGACTGAAAACTGAGAGGTTAAAGAAGTCTGACTTTTGTTATCTGTTCTGTTAATCAGTTCTTAGATGAAGAGGAAATACAATGACAGAAAGCAACAGTGTCTAGTACAAAACAGAGTGTAAGTAAATGGTCTTTAGTGTTATTGTATATACTTTGAATCTAGAAGACTGCCCTCCAAAAAAAAAACATAAGTCCTGTCAATTAGCTGATGTCACGGATGACAAAAGCCACATGTTGACAAGACTCAGCGAAGTACAACAGCCCTGCAATAACAGAATTCATTTTTGTTGTGTTAGCTTTCTCCCAGTTTGTCTCCCTATGCAGCTGGGGTATTTTTCTAATAGAGTGGGCTGTTGCATGCTGGATTGGAGCCACTGAGATCTCCAGATGCAGCGGTGCAAACACGTGGCAGGATGCCTGAGGATTACTGTTCACAGTGCTCTAAATACGGATGTGTGTTTTGCACAGTAAAATGGTAAGCCAAGGGATGGGAAGGATGGAGTATCCACTCTCAGTGAAAGTTGGTGGTAGATTGACGATTGACCGTGAGGAAAGCTATGCTGAGGGGATTAGTAAGGGGCCGGGTGCACTACAATCTCTTCAATCTAATGGATGATCACAACCACCACTGCTATGCTTCACCAGTCTAATGAACAGTTGCTTCTCTTCCCCAATAAACCTTATTGTTCAACGTGGGAAATTTTTAACAGTGGAGTCGTGATAAAAGAAAAAATGACTGTTGCTGTTTATCCGTCTTGTTCAGAGACATACAGCAACAGATGTGTTGTTAAAGTTCTAATATCGGGAGGAGGGGTGGGGGGATTAAATCACAACGCTGCTCTAGTGATTTGCCAGAGCGATAGCTTTGATGGGAAGGGTTGCAGGGAGCCTGGCAGTTAGAGTCAGCGGCACACCGGAGGAACGATGGGTGTGTGAGGGCTACGACGGGCCAACTGGGAAGCAACAAATACACTTTGAACTAAAAGTTCCCCAAAAGCTCTGTGGATATCGAGGGAATTAAAGAAACAAATCAACAGGTAAGATAAAAATGCATAGGATTACAAACATTTATTTTTAGTATGAACTGCTGAGAAAAAGCTAGAATTCTTAAAGTCAGATTTGGTTGTGACAATACCAACTTTAAAGGACCGGTTTGCCTCTTAGCTCTTCTTTTAATGTGAATGACTATCGTTCGAACAAAATCATCACCTCCTAATAAACAGCCGATAAGAGTTGCCTAGAAATGTGAACAGACGACGTTAATGTTTTATTTTCAGTCATCATCCACATCTTGAAAAGCATGTACATTATAATCTAAAAATGTTAATGTTCAAACTTTGCTCATTTCAAATACTAATATCCATGAAATTTATTAATAAAAAGATGGAGGTTCCCTTGTGATTTTAACTATGGTCTACTGTTCTCCCTATGAAATGCCCTAATAAACAGTTCCCATCCCAGAAAACACTCCAAGGGAGGAAAATTGAGGGAGGACACCAACCCCTATTTATTTAAGCTTTGGGAATCTGGGATTTTGGATTAATATTGTAGCACCACAGTTAAATCCTATTACGTGCAGAGACAGTGACGGTAGAAAAATGGGGATGGGACAAACGGGAGAGTGCAGGCATGGGTTGTGGGGCGGGGGGTGGGGTGGGAGATGACAGAGAATGAGAGTAACAGAGGGATTAGGGTCAGCCATGTTGAGCATCTGGCTTAGAGATGTCCTATGCTCTCCAACTGTACTGCAGCGCATGGACATAGGGATTACACAGCGCACAGTCAAAGTTGTGTTAAATCTCACTATAGGAGCCAATATGACAGAGAATATGAAAAACCTAACAGTAACTGCACTGATTCTGCTGTTTTGACAGCTGACATGAGGTTGGCCAGTGTTGGGGTCGGGGTCCGGGCCCGGAGGGCTGCAGAGCCGTCTGAACCAGAGTCGGAGGAAGCAACAGAGCCGGCTCACCACGAGCACTCCCATGCAGAACACCATGAGCACTCGCATACAGAACATCACCCCGGCCACGACTACAACCACATGAAGGAGAAGTTCATGAATGAACTCGGTCATCTGCCAAGTAAGCCACCTCTAGACTAGAGCTGGGTGATATGGAGGAAATCAAATATCATGTTTTTGATCACATACCTCGATATCGATACTGCAACAATATTGTAGGGTTGACGATTGGTGCTTTTACAATATATTTACATAATGAGATTTTGGATATCATGCCCAAGGACCAGGACACATTACGTGTCTTTAATTGAGCTGGAAATTGCAATGTTGGGCACTGGGTGCTTCTCTTGGGCATACTCTGTGTCTACTTTTAAGGGCATAGAGGCTGGTTGCGTCTTAAGTTGCTAAGCAATCATAACAACCACTGTATCATAGCCTACTAACCAGAAATCCTGAGTTCAGAGCTGATCTTCTTCCAGGCGTGTATAAGGCCTAAACTGTTGTCTGTGGGACAGATGTAAAGCTCTGGATGGCCCTGCACTAAAATTATGAACAACTTCTCCATGTTCATCATAGACTAGAAGAAAAGCAAGATATCTACTGCCTGTGATTGGTTGCTCCTCGTCACAAGACATGCGGTGCGCCTTCTGAGCATCTACATTGAAAACAATGGATGCAATGAGGGTACAAACAAACATGGCATGTCAAAGTGGATTTAAGCAAATAAAAACAACAGCTAAAACAGTTTGATAAGTTCAGAAAATTACATCACTTTACTGTAATGCTGCCATTAAAACCAGGAAAAGACAACATCACGATATCCAAAATCTAAGATATCTAGTCTCATATCCTGATGTCAATATAATATTGATATATTGCCTGGCCCAAGAGACGAAACATCTTCAAGAAACCCAAGCAAGTCCACTTGCCTTCGATATAGCACCTTAGATAACAATGACCTGGATGACTGAGAATCTGAGAAAGAGCGTGACAATTGTTTTTCCCATCAATTAATAACTACTGTTGAGGTGCTTTGAGTCAGGCACTTAATGATGAAGTGTGCTGCTGGGGAGTGTGGTTACACAGGGATACTCCCTGCTTAGAGTGTGTTATTATCTGATTGTGGAGAAGGGTGTTGCTGACAACACACATTCATGCTCGGCAAGCTGTCCTAGATAAACACGTGCTTAAAAAAATTTACAGCCAAGAAATGCTCTAAGGAACCTTTCAAAAAACATTATAAGAAGCAGTATGTTTTATTTCAACGGTACAATAGTATCATGTTTTATTTTTGATGATTTTATGCATTACGCCCAAAAAGTTTATGTGCATACACTTATTATCAGCTGGTATATATACACGTTACATATCCTCTTGAAAATCCTAATGTGTAAGACTTGTACAAATCCTTCCTTTTGCAGTGGGCTGTGTTTAAAAGTTAAGAAGTCTACTTAAAGATCTGATTCAGATACATGTTTTTGTTTGTTTTGTTGGGGTTTTTGTTGTTGTTTGGGCTCAGTTTTCCATATCACATCTTTAGTGTGAATTTAACAGATATTCACATTCACCTACTTTTTATTTTGCAGTCCCCGTGTGGGCGGTAGCAGCCATCGTTGTGGTGGTCCTTGTTTTGGTGGCGTGCTTCATCTTCTGCCTTTTCAAGAAATGCTTCGCAAAAAAGAAAAAGCCAAAGAAAGTGAGGGAGAGGAAAGCAGGTCGCCGCAAAAAGGAAAAGGAAGGTGAAGGAGAGGCGGGAGAGAAGGTATGTCATTTCCAGTAACACATCATCGTGTAACCTTACCTGATCTACAGCAGATTGTCACTGATGTTTTTATCTGGCAGGAGGGGGAGGTGAAGAAGGAAGGAGAGGAAGAGGAGAAGGAACAGGAAAAGTTGGGTAAGCTGGAGTTCTCGTTGGACTACAACTTCACAGATGCCCAGGTAGGTCCTGTGTGAAAACAATAATCACTATCAGTTCCATATGAGGACTCAACAAATTACAACCAGGAAGGAATTTTTACGCTCTTAAACGTTTGCCTGATCATTCTGACACTCGCTGTCTCTCCTCTGAAGCTCATAGTGGGTATCCTTCAGGCTCAGGACCTCGCAGCTATGGACATGGGGGGAACCTCAGACCCCTATGTCAAAGTCTTTTTGTTGCCAGACAAAAAGAAGAAGTACGAGACCAAAGTTCAGCGCAAGAACTTATGCCCCGTTTTCAACGAGACTTTCATCTTCAAGGTACCTCGTGCCTCACGCCGTGCCTTCGTCGACTTGATGTTCGTCTGTGTTTTGTTTGTTTTTTCTCTTGTCTTTATGTCTCTGTCGCAGCTTGTGTTGGTGCTCCAGGTTGTTGATGACATGTCTCTTTTTTACCCTCATGAAGCAGAAGTTTGGCCTATGTCTCTACTTCCCTTCGTCTTTAGTCTTTCATTCCCTGAATGGCGTCTGTCAAGGTATCCCTATGTTTTTAATCGTCTCCTGGTACTACATGTTCTTCGTTTGTTACATGTAAACAAAATTACCATCTACCTCCACCTATTGTTCAACTTAATGTTACGATAACCTCTCTTTGCAGATCCCGTATGCAGAGTTGGGCGGAAAGACTTTGGTGCTGCAAGTTTTTGACTTTGACCGTTTCTCCAAGCACGATATGATCGGCGAGATAAAGATCCCCATGAACAGCGTTGATTTGGGACAGCCAATGCAACAATGGAGAGACTTGGAGAGTGGTGAGAAGGAGGAGGTATGATATATTGTGTTTTCATTAAACCTTGTGTCATTTACTTTGATGAGGCATGATGATAATCCATAACATTTTCCTTTCAGCAAGAAAAACTGGGCGATATTTGCATTTCTTTACGATATGTCCCAACTGCTGGGAAACTGACCGTGAACATCATGGAGGCAAAGAACCTGAAGAAAATGGATGTTGGTGGTTTATCAGGTAATCAAGCCTCCTACCACTTATTATCATTTTGTCAGATATTTGCATAATTTCTTGTAAAACTTCAGTCTCAGGAGGAAGTAAATAGCCAAACAAAACGACTATATCATGTTCTTTCCCTCTTCCATAGATCCGTATGTGAAGATTGTTCTGCAGCAAAATGGGAAGCGGATTAAGAAGAAAAAGACGACTGTCAAGAAAAACACGCTCAATCCTTACTTTAATGAGAGTTTCAGCTTTGACGTCCCCTTTGAGCAGATACAGGTAGGCTGTGTCTTCATATTATTTATCAGTTTGAGGTGTAACAGACGATGGTGATGATTTGAAAACACATTTTTCTTCTATGTCTCTCAGAAAGTGCAAGTCGTCATCACAGTGTTTGACTACGACAAACTTGGAAGCAATGACCCCATTGGAAAAACCTTCATGGGTTATGGAGCTACGGGGGTCGGCCTGCGCCACTGGTCAGATATGCTCGCTAACCCTAGGCGTCCAGTTGCTCAGTGGCACACTCTTCTGCCAGAAGAAGAAGTCGACGCGGCAGTCAAAGCAAAACCTCGTTAAAATCGCACCTTGCTCGATTATCAAATACTGCTGATGTGTTATTGTTTATCCTGATGTTTTCTCAATTTGCATGTTCTGTTTTCCATTTTGTTTCTTTTACGATATTTTAATATGTGTGTGTGCATGTGTGATGTACAGACATTTTTTGATATTTGGTTGTTACTTGGCTTCCCCCAGTTACCTTAGACAGTATTGTAAACCAATATCACTTTGTATTTGTATAAATTGGAAACACTTATCTGTAAATGTTCATCTTGTGTGTATGCTCATGCATGGGTCTAGTAAAATCTGGATGCACAAAGAGTTTCAGAGTTAATCTGTGTTCTGAAAAGTTACTCTGAAAACATGGTCGAGCAGGGACACTCAACGCGCTTTACCCATGGGCCACTTGCAAAATGACAGAAGACCAGGGACCAGTTAATACACAAACATTAATAACATTTATCAGTACATATAATAAATTAATTTCCTGCTTTCCACCTCTCAACATTTGCTGTCCTCGTGTATCTTTGCCAAGAGACAAATCCAGCTGCAGCATCTCTGCACAGGTCAGGTGTATATGCAGGGGTGTCAGCAAGCCACCCGGCACCCTATTGCAGGCCAGATTTGGCCCATGGGGTGTAAGTTGAGGATCACTGTGGCAGAGCTTCTACATTTCACAGTATGCAGTCCTGAAACATGCTTGTTGTAATGCTCTGGATCTTTTCAAATCCAAATAAACTCACAATGGACAGTTTCACATCAATGTTTCTCTTACTCTAATTAAATTAGTTTATGTTCTTACTGTTAAACTGATAAAAGTAATTAAATAAAAACTGAAGTTACCCTGAAACACTATTAGATAGAGAAAAGTATTATTGATAGTACAGGGTAGGATGGGGATAAGATGCCCCCACTCCTCTCCTAATCAATATATGGCACTAAATCTACTCTCAACACATGTATTGAATGGCTATACTCTAGTGAATGGTGACATTTTATCTGAGTTGCTGCATTCTTAAGATTTATTCCACCAGAATAATTTTAGGGTGAACTAATGTAAATTGTTTGTCACTGAAAAATAGTGATCTATGTATTTATATTAAGTTGTACATAGAAAGCTGTGATATTTACTTTATATGATGATGGAGGATAAATCATTCAATTTATTTTGAAATAAAAAAAAAAGATTTTTCTCTTTTAATGTAAAAATGTAAAGTTAAGTTTAGGGGGATTGTCTAGTATACAGTCATACAACTTTATATAGTTCATATCTGCATATAGTAGTAGTATAGTTTTGTAGTTTTAACAGCTTGCTGGGATTATTAGATTGCTAACTAGCAAATATTATTACCATTGCTCATCATCTGGAATTACCTAACACATTGTAGTTCAGCTCAAGTAAGACATCCTGAAATAAAAACAATTAGTCTGAATAAAAGGCTAAAAGGCTTCTAGATAATCCATTAATGGGTCAGGGTTGGGTAAAGTTACTCTGAGAACATGGTAGAACAGGGACACTCAGCTTGCTTTGCCCATAGGCCACTTTTGCAAAATGACAGAAGACCAGGGACCAGTTAATAAACAAAGGTTGATAACATTTATCAATATATGTAATAAATCATTTGCCTGCTTTCAACCTCTCTTTACCAAGAGACAAAAGTAGTTGCTTTGAGATTTGAGGATATTCAGGGTTAAGCTATGACTTCTGCTAGGGGTTCTGGGGGACCCTCCCCTGGTATCGTGTTTTTTATGAACAAGCTCTATTTGATGCTTGGTGTGTTAATTTATGCATCCTGTACATGCTAAAATCATATCCAAATATTTTTAAATTTTACAGTAAATTGACTTAATCATTAAGAGGGGCATCTCCCCCATTTTACCCTTTATCCAACAGTGTTTCACCATAATAATCTATTGATTTTAAAATCTCAAAAGACAGGAGTATACATGGCCTACTACTAGTTTACATTCTGCCCTATTACCACTAGATGGCGCCTGCCCTCCATATTAAAAGACTGTTGCTTAGCAACAGGAGCCAAACTCTGTGTTCAGACGGTTTGCTGTAAACTTTTCTCAGTTTTCAGTCTTTGAGGTGAGTGTTTTCCACTATACTTTCTTTTAGTTGATAGTATCTAGTCACAGCTTATGAACATTTATCACCACACTGAGGTAAGAGACGGGTCTCTACCCCCAAATAACAGCTTCATTGATAACGTTAAGCTAACTATATGTTCCTTTGACCGAGTAACGTTAACGTTACTGTTAGCTAACGTTAGTTAACGGTCGTGCTAAGCTAAGCTGTCTCGTGAACACTTAGCCAACTGACACTCCTGTAAAAGAAACATAATGACACTTACTCTGACTGAGTGTTGATGTGAAACACTTACAGTCAGGTGTCCGGCTCGGTTTGTCTTTCTTTAGGTCACATTATAGGATGAGTGGTGGACGGGCTTCAGAGGGCGCTGGCTGCATCACCTGGTGGGGCTTCAGTCCTGCGCGCGACCTGCTGAGTACGGGTGAGAGCCGCAGGTGCACGTGGATGTGTGGTCCACCTACACACGTGCAACAGATAAAAATGAACCTTACCTCGACCAACTAGGACATTTTAAAGTGCTGCTCAGTGCTCACAAGTTAATGCTGATAATAAGGATCCAATTATCAGTGGTAAAAAGTAACTAAGTATATTTACTCAAGTATTGTGCTTAAGTACAACTTTGAGGTACTTAAATACTTCTATTTTCTGCTACCTTACACATCCACTGCACTCCAACTTTGAGGCAAATTTATACATACACATA